TTGTACTCGGGATAAACCAAGCCAGAAAGGACAGCTATATATTCCTAGTTAAATTTAGCAGTGTGTTAGAGCTGGTACTAATGACTATGCAAAGCGCAAGGCATGAAGAACCGTACTTGGAATATGGATGCAGATGTGCGTGAATACCTCTGTGTGTATGTATGTATGTATGTCTGTGTATATAAGTATTTAAAAAAAAAAAATCCTAATAGTGTTTTATATTTATTACCAGTGATTTTTAAAAAAAAATCTTTAAATTATGAAGATGTTCTTATTTTAAATGACTTAATTATAAATTCTGTGTTGCACAAAGATAGCCACTCTGGGGTTGTTTATTGTGTTAATAGTCATCTTGGAGAGGCACTTCAAGACCAGCTCAGGACAGGTGGTGATATTATGACCGTCATTTGAAGCCCTAAAGAAAGCATTTCCAGTATTTCTAAATTACGCATTTAAGACTTTTCTGGGCCTTATAGGACAGCGGCTCTCCAAAAGTGATCACTGCAGCTCATGCAGTGTATTTGAAACCTTTTTCTGTCACCTCTTTAGTGCTAGAACACAGAACTATTTGTGTTCTGTGTGCTCGTGGAAACTCTTATCCTCTTTAGTGATAGGTGTAGCTCTTGGCGTTGGTATCAATGAATCACTGTACCTGAAGAAAACAAAACAGAAAAGGGAAAAATGCAAGAAGAAATGTTTATTTCTATCAGTGATGAGACAGAACAGCACTTGTTTCACTTCTCTGTGTGTCATATATGAGCTTAGTAGTGGGCTCTTGAGAAACAATTCCTAGAATAGCAATATGTGCAATACTACTTTTTGTTCATCTTTTGTTGCAGAGCTGCCTTTTTTGCAAGGGGCTGACTTTTTTTCAACCAAATTGTATCGCCTGCCAAGAATTTTCATGTGACTCTCGGAAACCTGCTGCAGAGTCTTCCCTATTTGCTATTCAGTCCTGTTTTCTTCTCCCTTTAGCAGGTAAGCGCATGTTTCTGCAATACTATTTGCAAGTGGAAAATGTTTCCAATTTCAGACACCTGGAGAGTTCGTTTTGTTGGACTTACTAGGGTTAATATCTCTGTTCCAAAATTTCCCACAGAACCGATTGTATTTTCTGCCATAGAAAAATATCGGACTAGCAATGCAACACTTTGGGATTTTTAACATCAGCTTGTGTCAGTCTTCATCCCTCTAACTTTAGTGCAGCTTAAAAAATGGTATCCATGGTCTTTCAACTGTGAATCTATTTACAGCTGAATCAGGGTTGTGAGCAAGCAATATAGAAAATTGCTTGAATTTTTGCTGAGAGAAGCCTCTAAATAACTTTGTCCTTGGCGGGGGGGGGGAAGCCCTGGAAGTAGAGAGCCAGAATGGGTGATGCAAAAGCTCAGGTGTTATCCACCACGGTGACCTCGAGCTGAATGAGAGGGTTCAGATACTGTTCGCCAAGATCATAGTCAGACAACCATTGCAGAAACAGATTAAGCCGCCCCGGCTGACTGTGCACTGAAGCGTATGAGGAATTCTCAAATGACCTGTATATGATTGATGTATATATGGGTGTGGCAAGAAGCAGCACCGAACAGCTGAGTGGTAGTAATATCTTACACAGCTGCAGCTATTTTTGCAGAGGTGCTTGGCACAACCCGCTAAAGTTGCTTAATATTCTTTGCTAGAATTGGGATCCGCGTTTGAGATTCAAGGGTTTTAGGAAGGAGGAAATTTTACAGATTTCTTGAAATCGCTTTCAGTAAATGCTAGTCGTTAATGGAGAGTGTGTATGGGTGTGTGTGTGCATTTATGTGAAAGGAAAGTAAATGTGCTTAATCTGTCTTTGTTGTTGTTCTGTTTTTCTTTTAACATTATTGTCGCATGTAGTAGCTCATTTTTTCAGAGCAATTTGGAAATTCTCTCAGAAAACAATTACCAGTTTCCTCCTCCAAAAGAATTTTCTTTCTGAACGTATTAAGAGACTCATTTTCTCTTAAAGATTCATTTACTTTATCACTAAGCTGCAGAATCTAACCTCTGCCATGGCTTCAGCTTCTTTTTCTGTGTTTTTTAAGCAAAGTGGCCTTTTCCAAAGGATTTGCTCTTGAAAACTTCTGTTTTGATTTACTTGGCAGTAATGCATGCTTTCTTTCCGATTTGTATCAGGCAGTAAATGATGGGTATGCCTGTTCCATGCTACTTCATTGCAGTAGTAGCTGGATTTTGCTACAGTGGTTACTCGGTCTCATCTCAAGCTGCAGAGGTGAATGGCCCCCTATAATCTGCAGCTCCTGCCGGGCCATGCGCCATAATTCAGTGCAAGGCTGTGATCTACAGTAGCATTTAGCTTGGTCTTCAAACTGGGCACAGATGTTTAAAAGCGAGAGAAATGATTTTCGTTTGCGCTGCACTTTTTTCTGCCCAAGGATTTTCAGGGTGCTGTTACCTACTGCCAGTCTGGATTCTCTGAGAAGCAAGTTAGCAGCACCGGTAGCAGAGAGGGGATATTTGACAGCTACGCATTGTACAACAGGAACTTGATAGTCTTAGGTCATGAAAAGTATGGGTATGAGCATCGCTCTGCTCCTTACAAGTAATTCCTCTGGAAAAGTTGAGGGAAGAATCTAAGTATAATTCAGTCAGGAAATCCTTGCTACCTCTGCCCACATTATTTCAAGCATACCCAGAAAAGTTCTGCTCCTGAACTTCCCAACCTTCTTTAAAATAAATACCCGCACCTGCTGTTACCTAAGTTAGCAGTCTACCAACGGATCTGTTACCAAACATGAGTTCTGTCAGCAGCAACTCCAGATACTGCTGTTCAGAGGATTCAGCCATTGCCAGCAGGACTAAAAGCTGCTCTAATGCTTCACTGAAATATTTTGAAAAGTTCACTGTGAACACTTCATCTTTGTTTTGTTCATTGTTAAACTTTTTATTCTTGGTATTATAAATAACTGCCCCTCAGAGTAAACAGGGAGACATGTGCTTGCCTTCTGGTTTTAGTGGAGCATTTGCAAACTATCCCACTGTAAACTCTTACAGAGTCATCTGTAACCTTACTGTGATGGACAGTCAGATCAGAGTTCCCACCATGTCAGGAGGCGTTATTAGACATTATGCCTTGAGCAACTTACCACCACACTGACAGAGTGTTTGCTGACTGGAAATACGAATGCCTTATGAAAAAAACCACTGCCTGCCTGCTGAAACCCAGCATTTTATAACCATTTGGGGTTTTTTCATTGCAAAAGCCATAACTTCTCACTTGCTGGCGATACAATAAACTTTAAGTGATGCTTATGGTTTTAAGTGCAGCATTGTATTCAAATTTTATATTCCAACAGTGTGCGTATTTTCACAATTACATTTATTATGTGGTCTTTGTTGTGGTGTGATATAATTTAAAGGTCTTAGGAGTCTGGTCGTACTGTAACAGGGACGGTAGAAAACGTGTGGAAGGTTTCAGGCCCCCATTAGTTTACATCTGTGGGCCATGGCCTTTGCAAATGGTTGTACATAGGTTTTACTTTCTGGATGTGTAGAGTCCCATGTTATTCTGTGGAAGTGTCAAAGGTTTCAAATCCAGCACATACAGAAGCCTTGGCATGGCAGGGGCCTGATCAGAAACAGCAAAGTAACATTTGCTGTGCTCACAAGGAGACAGAAGTCAGTAGGAGAGTGTTGAGATAATAAAGGAGGTTAGCAATGTTTACTGTGTCACAGCTGAAAAGCACTCAATCTTTTCCTAATCAGGGTTATGAGAAGTTCCTGGCAAAGTTCTCTCTTTGTTCACTCCCTTTTTTCTCCTCCTTCAATACAAAGAGGAGAACCTGACGGTGTCTTTATTTATTGTTTAATTCTCCTTGTCTGCTGCTGGAGTGCGTGTTACTCTCAGCCCAACTCTTCCCTAAAATCTCAGCCGATTCCCTAGCCAGAAGGTGCTATAACCAGCAGATCCCATTTGCCTTTCTGTTGAAGCTGTCCCACGAAGGCTGCAAACTTTGCCCTTTCCTCTCAAACCCGCAATGCCTTTGGTCAGCAGCAGACTCTCCTAGAAATACTCCTAATTTACTGTCTCCCTACCTGAAATACCAACTGAGCTTGTAAACTAAAGACATTTCCCAAAGGTCTCTTCATCTGGGGTCAGAGCATGTACGTGAGGAAGTGAAACATTCATTAGTTGGATGCCAGATTATTTACATTTGTGTCATGATCAACCAGGCAATAAAAGACTAGGGATGACATTCATCTCATCTAATTTTAGGTATTTACAGCTTGGAATACCATATCCATGTCTGAACTACTCATGTTGTGTTCTCTTTATAGTTGGTGGAGAGAATAAACATATCCCGAGCATCACTTACCTGACCAGATCTAAATATCCTTTTTTAGAATGCAATGATGTGCCTGGTTTTCTCCAGCAACTATAGAATAAGGCCTGGATTTTCCTGTACATTTCTATTTGTACACATCTCACACATCCCACTCCCTATGTTCATTACCCCATTTCCTAGGAGCTAGTGCTGAATGAGCTTAAAAAATGGAGAGGTCAAGCTACAGAGTGACTGAACGTCTGAGAGTATCTTAATTTCACCTTCCAGTTCTGACCTCCCAGGTCGCTATGCTGCTGTCACTACCATCACGAGTGTCTCCTCTCTCTTCACAGCAATTACAGAGAATTTAATCAAAAGGAAGGAATTATTTACGTGTTATTGCCAGTTTTCTTACTGTTACTTATTTCCCATCTCAGTAAAATACAGGCAATAGTAAAGTGTATATAAAAGCATAAATATTTTATCTATTGAGCTGCTTATCTAAGTGTGTAAAATAACTGTCAGTTATATAACAGCTGAACTCTTACATTTGTTACATTTAATTTTGCTATAAGTAAAGGAAGGTGAAAAAAGTATCTTTCATTCCTCTTTTTTCCCCAACTCCGCACAGATGTAACCCAAACAGCTTTCATAGAGCTCAGCAAAGGAGGACAGGTCACCTCACTGAGGCTTGTGTAATCTTCCAAAGGTTAAATCATGAGGGTTACCAAAATATAGGCCTTAAAAATCATTACCAGGCACAAAAAATCATGATGTAGGCTTGAAAATTGATTATTTTGTATTTCTTTAGAACTTATGTTCTGCTTTTGAACTGAAATGGGACTATTTCAGCACCTGATGTGGATGACTAGGTAGCATTACTTGATAAAGTAGTAAGAAAAGTATGTAGATAAATGAAAGTGGGTCCTGGTCACATTTTCATTACATGTCTTAACTAGGACTTAACAAATTATCTAATAATTTTGGGTGCCTTTGATTTTGGTCCTCTCATAAGGAAAAATTGTTACACAGTATTAAGGATTCAGTTTTTAAAAATTTTAAGGCTCATATTTTTTAACACTACTGGGTACCAACAGTGGAGTGGGAAAACCTTTTGCCTTTAAAAAAAAAATACTTCAAAACATTTGAACCAAGATTTTCTGTTGAAAGCATAGGTAGGAAGCAATGCACTACAGTAAATGAACAGCAAAAATTTCTATTTTGTTCCAACAGAATAAGTTTAGATGTGTTTGTTTCAGATGACATGCTAAATTCTTGTACTAAACCCAAGGAAACCCAAATGGAATCAATGAACCAAAAACCTGGATTTAAAAAGCTGTTTATGCCAGTCTGAGTCAAAAGTTCAATTCTGGCTACTCTCCTTCCTTGGAGCATTCAAATCTGGATCCAAAAGTTTGTTGGAGCCAATCTCTAAACCAAATGACTAATAAAACTAACATCATGACACGCACGTATATATACGCACATATCTCCTCTTTAACATGCGGAGTATTAGCTGTGGGCCAGGATTGTTTTAGGTTTTTTTAATGTACAAAGTGATTCAACTCTGTCTTCCCTGACCTCCTCCCTTCTCCCAGTCTGGCCAAATCCTTGTGCTGGCTCCTACTGCTGCATCGCCAAATATTGCACAAAGGAAGATGGCATTATTGT